AGACAACTCATCAGAATAACAAGAAGAAAAAACATCCTAAAAAACAAGGATGGTGTAAGCAGCTTCTGGTACAAGTTCAAGTGTTCCAACCTTTGCTTCATAGGGGTGACAGAAGGTGAAGAGATAGAGCATGAAATTGAAAAATCTATTAGAAAAAATAATGAAAGAAAACTTCCCAAATTTGGTGCAGGAAGTAGACATGTAAGTCCAGGAGGCATGAGAGTCCCAAACAAGATGCATGCAAAGAGGCCCACTCCAAGACGCATCACAATTAAAATCCCAAAGTTAAAAGATAAAGAGAGAATCTTAAAAGCAGCAAGAGTAAAGCAGTTAGTTACCTACAGGGGAGCTCCAATTAGACTGTCAGCTGATTTCTCAAAGAAACTTTGCAGGCTAGAAGGGTCTGGCAAGAAATATTCAAAGGCATGAAAAGCAGGGACCTACAGCCAAGGTTGCTGTACCCGTCAATGATATCATTTAGAATTGAAGGGCATATAAAGAGCTTCCCAGGCAAGAAAAAAACTAAAGGAGTTCATCATCACCAAACCATTATTATATGAAATGTTAATGGGACTTATTTAAGAAAAGAAGATCAAAACTATGAAAAATAAAATGGCAATAAATATATATCTATCAACAACTGAATCTAAAAAACAAACAGCATATAAGAAGAACAGAGACAGAATCACAGATACAGAGAGTGTTTCGATGATTGCCAGATAGGAGGGGGCTGCGGAGGAATGGGTAAAGAGGTGAAGGGATTAATAAGTACAAATAGGTAGTTACAGAATAGCCATGGGGATATAAAGTACCGTATAGGGAATGGAGTAGCCAAAGAACTCATATGCATGACCCATGGACATGAACAATGGCGTGGGGATTGCCTGGAGGAGTTGGGGGTACTGGGCTGAGGGGGGCAAAGGGGGAAAAATTGAGACAATTATAATAGTGTAATCAATAAAAAAAATATGCAAAAAAAATTCTGGTCAGTAATTTTGAAGAATATTCCTGTGTTGGGTTTTGTCTGATGTTTTCTCAAGATTTGATTAGCACAATGCATTTTTATGAGACCGCAATGGAAGTGATGTGTCTTTGGAGCTCCTTCTGTGCACAGATTCCTCTTCTCTGTACCCGGCTCTGGAATTCCAGCAGGATTACAAGGTGAGAAAAGCCCCACTGCCTTCCATCATCCTCTACTTGCAACAGTCGGGGAGGTCTCCCTGGTCTGCCAGTTCCCCTGCCCCCCCACCTCCCTATGTGCCCCCCACCCACCTGCCTCCAGCCTTCCCCCTCTGCCTGCCCCTGCTTCCCCACAGAGAGCCAGGTATTCGAGAGGCCCACCTCATGTGCTGATCTCTGGCCCCCTATCTCACACTGTCTGTTGTCGAACATGAAAACAGCTGCATCATGCAGTGTGTCCAGTGCCCAGCTATTTATGGAGAGCGGGGTGGCCTGGGCTACCTTTCCACCAATACTCTCCTACCCGTCCCGCTCACCCCACCCCACACCGTTGCAGTGGGTCATAAGGGCTGAGTACATAGAAGCCTTAAGGAGAAGAGCTGTGTGAACTCCATCTCAGGCTCCCTGGAAGAGCAAGCAGGCTTTCCGTAGGCACAGAGGCCATGTGGTTTCCTTTCATTCTGCTTGGCACCTTTAACCGCACAGCTTCTGGGTTCCCTCTGAGACTGAGCTCTGCAAGAGCCCATCCATCTTTTGAACCACTGCCAGATGATAAAAACCACAGCAATTCTGAATGTTCAGAACAGTTATGCTCTAAGCTGATTCTGTGGCACCAGTTTTGACCCAGTAGCAGAAGAAGAAGGAGCTTCATCCACAGTCATTTTAATATCACCAGGTCTATTGTGGTTTCTCTCCTCACAGAGGAATGAACATTTTGCTCCTGGCACACTTTTTTGTCAAGTCAACTCTACTTTCTGCTTTCCACTGAAGGAAGATTAATAATATTCAACATACAGACTAAATCAAGTAATTATACCTTTTAGTGCACCTGATAATTTCTTACCCAGCTGGTGCTAACAGTCAATCAAAATGCCATAAAAGGTGTTTCAGAATGTGCTAATGATCCACTGCACTCTGTCAGGCATGGTGGGGATTTGTTCAACTCTTGACATCACAAACCTTGCACAAAACAGCCTGACAGTTCTGCCACCCAGAGCTCCACACCCGGGCTGCCCCACCACTAGGGGCCCCTCACTTTATGTGTCCCACCTAACAAAACTGCCATTCCATGGAATCCCCAGTAAAGTCCTTTGGAATATTTCATACATATTTATACTTTTTAAAGCCAGCTAAGGAGAGAATTCAAAATCAAGTCCTAGATGGACAAGAAACTGCACACAATTAATAATTTCAATGTTTCACTAAAAGGAGCCATTAAATGGGCAAATAAATTTAGAGAAAGCATCAATCTAGATTGTGTGGAATCCAGACATATAATCGCCCCAACATGGCGTTTTCCAGTATCTGTAGCTACTCACAACCGCCCACGTCAAGAACCTTATCAACCATGCCTGCTCCAAACAGCGTGCTCTCCAGGCTTCTCCATACCCGTCTGCCCCTCTGGCTGGTGCTGCCACAGCCTTTGGGGACTTGCTCGCCACCCACGCAAGTGGACATGATCAGTCACACTGGGCCCTGGCCCTAGGCCTGCTGCCCTAGGTGGAGCTGTCCCTCTGTATCCAGCTGCTTCCAGTGCTCCCGAGACCCCCTACACTGTTACCCAAACCACAGACAGCCACTGAGCTGTGATGAAAGCTGTCAAAGAGGGAATCTGAAGCACATGTGAGTAGGCCCCTGACAGTAACAGAAAGAACTGGGAGGTACCTGCCTTAAGGACTCCAGTTCCATTCAATGACCAGCACGTCATCCCTGCACAGAGGCGATGTCCATCAGTGTTACTTAAGAGCTAGTACTGCTCAATTCCTATGTGTGGATATGAAAGTTAGACAGTGAAGAAGGCTGATAGGAAAAGACTTATTCATTTGAACTACGGTGGTGGAGGGGAGCTTTACAGATACCCTTGACCAGCAGAAAGATGAATGAGTGGGTCCTAGAGCAAACGAAGCCTGAAACTTACTGGGGGCAGAAATGGTACAACTAAAGCTGCCCTACTTCAGACAGGGTTCTTTGGAAAAGACAATAATACTGGGAAAAATTGAAGGCAGCAGTGAAAGAGGAAAACCAACTATGAGTGGGCTGACTCCACAGAAGAAGCCATGGGCATGAGTACAGGGGAACTGAGCAGGGCTGCTGAGGACATCACTCATTCAGAGTGTCACCAGGAGTCTGAGCCGACTAGGGGCATGTGACAACAATAACTGGCCAGGATTCCAGGGTGATGGAGCACAAAACATCACAGTGAATGAGGGCATCACCTTAATGACAGCCACAGAGAGGTGTAAAAATGCTGGGCTGAAGAGAGCGCACAAGGGAGTGAACACTCATAGAAAAAAATATATGAGTAAACTGAACGTTTGATGAGAAACGGGACAGCCACGTTATTTCATTAGACCTCACCACAAAATACTTCCTAATTATACTGTGGAAAAAAGTGGCTTCATGATAGGACTGGCTGGGCCCACCTGAGTCAGCAATGGGACAGATGGGCCCCACCTCCAAAAGGGGAGTGCAGAGCCTCCTGCCAGGGAGGCAGGACTTCAGGCTGGCCAGGGGCACATCGGAGAGCCGCAGTGCTGGGTCATGGGGCAGGGGAGACTGAGGACCGTCTGGGCTAGAGGGGACACGGAGAGGTAGTCTCTGTGGATGGAACAACTTGTTCTCAGGTGGGTCAGGAGCAAGTTCTCTGCCCCATCCCCCAACAGTTCTACAAGTTTGTGTTTGTCCCCCAAGGAAAAACTTAAAGCAAACAGATACTCAGCATTATCTGTAAGACAAGGTTTCCAATGTAAAAGAATTTAGTATTTTATAATATTTTAATTAAAAAAATGAAATCTTATGTATGAAGGGTAGGACGTAGAAGAGAGTGAAAAAGAAGGGAAACTGCCAAATTCTCTGTCTATAGTCGGAAATCAGAAAGAATCACGTCCCTCCTGATTTTAAGGCTCAGGAATGTTTCTGAAAAATGTTAAGGCAACTGCTAGCGAGATTAAAAGTAGGGCATGCCCTTTCAAAGGCTCTGTAGAAGATAGAAGCTAAGGAACCCTCGTTTCCAGGGCTTGGCAAGAGAGTGTAAGAGAACACAGGCGAGCATCGCCAGGCTGAGCGCAGCATAGACCACACAGCTGCCACTGATGGGCCACAGTGGAGTAAAGGGAACAACTGAACACACCCCGCAAACCCAGTGAGCAGGGCATCCGAAAGAAAAGACTAACAGGCAAAGAGAGAAGGAAACCAGCGTGGCTTTCTCTGGTTGTGAACTACAGGTGACATGGTGCCCCTCTTTACTGATTTGAAGCGATAAGAAATGTTTCAGACATTCCAGGGACCACCAGGAAGGCTGGTGAGAAAGAAGCACCGGCCCTGGCTGGTGTGGCTCAATGGACTGAGTGCCGGCCTGTGAACTGAAAGGTCGCTGGTTCCATTCCCAGTCAGGGCATAATGCTTGGGTTGAGGGCCAGGTCCCCAGTTGGGGATGTGTAAGGAGCAACTGATTGACATATCCACTGCACATCGACATCTCTCTCGCACATCGACGTTTCTCTTCCTCTCTTTCTCCCTCCCTTCCCCTCTCTCTAAAAATAAATAAATATTTTTTTAAAAAAGAGGGAAGCTCTGAGAAGCTCTATCCCATGAGTCTTTGTGTGAAACAGACTGAGTTGTGGTTGTTCCCCACAGAAAATGGTCCTGTAAGAACCAGGGAAGCCAACAGTTTCCAGGGCTCAAAAACAGGCCAATGGACATCACAGAAAGAAGCAGAACAAGCCCAGCTGGCCCAGCCCAATAGATGTGAGGAGACCAAGGCAAGTGACTCGTTTTTAGCACATTTTCCCAAGAACATTACAAACAAAAGTTCTACTTACTGCTCCAAGCATGATTCTGAAAATCAACCACCGAAAGCCCCACAGAACAATCCAGGATGTGGGGGTCTCCCTGGGCAGTCGAGACAGAGTCCAAAGAGGGCACAGGAAAATCCCCAGGAACCCTGTTTCCAGAAGCTGGGACTCCCATCCTAAATGGTGACAATAAGAGAACAAAAGGCCATGTTAACCACAGCTGGACATTGTCTACAGAAATAGTTTCACCAAACACAGGACAGATGGAGTGGCTGAGGAGGGTGTTTCAGCCACAGTCATAAATGCATCTTGCGGGCAGCTGTTGGACTGTGCCCCAGCACCCCAGCCAAGCCCTCTGTATTCAGACCACTACCTCCTGTCCTTCTCGGGGAGCTACAAATGTGACATGGCCTCACGTTGAGCACACACTGCAGCAGGCGTTGGGGAGGCCTCTTCCATTCAATAGGCTTGCATTTGAAATCATGGCTTTATGCACTCTTCCCTGGGGAGCATTCACCGGGACAGACAATGTGCATCAAGGAGGCCAGAAATCTGCATGTGAGATTCTGAATGCAAAGCTGACTTTGGTCCCTGCTGGCCCCACATGAGGGTGTAAGTCACAGGTACAGGTGAAACAGCCGCTATCTGCCCCTGGTAAGGGAGAAAACCAGGGACAGTTGTAGGTATAGGTGACAAGGTCCCCAGTTTAGAAGGAAGCCAAGGGGAGATGCATGACAGGAACAGGTGACATGGCCCATCTGCCCCAGATGAGGGAGTAAGTTGCAGAGAGGCAAGAGACAGGTACAGGTGACATAGCTTCTGTCTGTCCCCAGTGAGATAGGAAGTCACAGGATGACATGGAACAGGTACAGGTGACACAGCCCCTGTCCTTCCCAGGTGAGGGGAGAAGCCACGGAGAGTCACAGGAACAGGTAACATGGCCCTTGTCTGCCCCAGGTGAGGGATTAGGTCAGGGGGAAAAGCAGCAACAGGTGATGGTATGGTAAACCCGCCTCCCCTCAGCCCCACGTGCGCTCAGCCTGTACGGTAGGCGCCTCTGCGGTTAGAGGTGAGTGCTAGCTAATTCTTCCTGCTGGGAGCCCTGTGTGAGAAATGCAGGCGAGTGCAGTGCACCCGAGTTTTCATTCTCACAGAAGAGATGGCACTCCAAGTTCTCCTAAAAACTCACTCAGTGTCCCCTACTGTGGAAACAGCTGCTCACACTGTTACTGGCACACCAGGAACCAAGAACAGGTTTCAGGTGGTTGTAAACCGGGCTCTTCAAAGGGAACCTGCACTTCATTGTGCGTATCACACAAGCTCCTATTAATAAAATATGCTGCATGAAAGATGCATTAGACAAGGGTAGATACTCTGTGGGTCCGTTTATAGAAGATTCTAGAATATGGAAAGCTGATGCAGGTGAAAGAAATCAGAACACAGCTAGCTGCCTGGTGACGCGGGCCGGGGCACACTGGGATGAGGATGAGTCTGCGCCTGGTCAGGAAGTGGGTCACAGGGTGTGTTGCCAAGACTTACCAGAGGCACCTTAGGGTCTGTGCATTTCATTGTTTAGTTTCTTCCTCAAACACATATATAAACCTACACAAATTCTGAACCCCAGTTTTAAGGCTGATGGACGGATCTACAGGCCTGTAACTTATTTTGAGGTGCATCAAACGTTAAGCTGAGAAATGAACAGATGTGTGATGAAGCCAGCAGAGCAAAGGACAAACCTCAGAGTCCAGGCAGGGGGAGCGCATGGGTTTCACTGCACAATTGTTCGAAACTCTCTGTGGTTTGAAATTTTTTTTAAGATTGTGGGGGATCCCATCTACTCTCACATATGCTATGGATTTCTGATGCCCCAGTTCCAAATCAGTTGTTCTTTTGACGAAAACAGGTCATCTGCAGCAAAGCAGTGCCTGAGAGTGGCATGCCCGACACCAGGGTGACAGTGACCTGTCACCACCCAAAGGGGCAGGTGGTCTCAGCCTGAATGGGTGGCTGGCATCGATGGAGCCGCATGCCCTGAGATGGCGACTCTGGGGCCATCAGCATGTACCCTGCCCATGTCCATAGATACTTCCAGCCCTGGCCAGTGTGGCTCAGTTGGTTAGAGCGTCGTCCCATAACCAAAAGGTTGTGGGTTTGCTTGCTGGTCAGGGCACATACCGAGGTTACGGATTTGAGCCCCAGTCCATGTGCCTACGTTCCCTGGTCCGGGCATGGACGGAAGGTAACTAATCGATGCTTCTCTCTTGTATCGATGTTTCTCTCTCTCCCTAAAAGCAATGAAAAAAAAGTCCTCGGGTGATGATTTTTAAAAAAGAGAGATAGAGATAATTCTAGAAGTAGAAAGAAGCCTGGACAGTGCTGGAGGGGTGGGGCAAGGCAATGCAGGCAGCTGGAGCCACCCTACCCCCAGGCTGTGTTGGGTCCTGTGTCACGGCTATCAGCTGGTAGGAGAGGAAAGCTTTAAGCTGCCGGATGCTCTGGCCAAGGCCAGGAAGAGGCTGGAAGCATAGGATGCCCACAGGGTTCAGCCTGGCCCCTCCAGGGCCCACCTGCACCTGACCCAGCGCTGGACATTCACTCTGACTTCCTTCAGGGGTCCGGGAAGGAAAAATGCAGAAAGCAGCAATACTAGTTTATGAGATTTCAGACATAGAACAGCTGCTTACTTTAGGTCAAGGATTCCCTCCTTTTTGTTCATGGTTTTAGAAGACCTTTCCTTTACAACTTGCTCCAAATTTTCCTCCGCCCAGCCTGGGAAAAATGAACTTATTTCCGTATGACAGTTTCTTTAATTTTATCCTGAGATGAATTTTGTTAAATATGGACTCATTTCACTTGGGGTGCATTTTATAAATATATGATTTGATAAGCAAAGGATATGCAGAATATGGAAGTGGCAATAGTCATAAGAGTGTACTTATCTATAGACATGGCCACTTTTTGAGAAAGTACCTCAAAAGCCACCTGTTCTGATCCTTCTTCCGCTTGGTGGTGAGAAAACTCAGGAACCGAGAGGCCCATGCCTCATGCAACCCTGCAAGCCGAGCACAGGGAGCTGGGGTTCTGAGCAGAGAAAGCCAGGTTGGAACACCACCCAGAATGCCTAGAAGAGCTGATGTGCCACTGCAGGTGTGGGGGCCTCGTTCAACCCCACAGTGCAAAGCCTGCCTTGCTCGCACTCCTGCAAACCCCTTGTAAACTCTAAGACCCCACGTGGGTGAGCACTTCCCTGGGCGCCAGGCCTGCCTTCTCTAATTGTCACCTCACTTTGCGCAAATGTGATGAACAGAATTTTAACATACAGTTTGAGTGACACCAATCAAAGTGATATGCAAATGGCAGAGCCCAGAGACCGTCTAAGTGCCAGGAAGCAGGTGACAGGGTAGGCAAGGGATGGGACATGCTGTCACCTTAAGGATGTGCTTGTACTGGCAGAGGGTCACCTGGCCCTCCCGCCGCCTGAACCTACTGAAACGTTCCTTACCCTGCTGGGTTTCATGGGAGAGTGGACGCCTGAAAGCCAAGGTGCGCATGCTTCCTACTGCGGGACCCACCTGCTCCCACCTGCCCCCTTTCACTGGAGCTGCTGCCTTGCTGGCCACCGGCCCTCCAGCCATCAGCACTCCCTGACACCACTGGCGAGGAAAAAGGGTCGCCTGCAGACCCACCTGCTCTGCTTTCTTAGCTTGGATCTTGTCGAATTTCAGCAGCTGTGCTGCCTGCACAAGAACACCATTGTTCTCTGCTTCAGCATGGTGGGGAGGTGTCCCCAGAAAAACAAATGCCCAGTGCACTGCTGCGGAGGCTTCCTGTGGCTGAGAGGCTGTCCATGTGCCTGCGGATGGCACAGCACACAGCACACTGCTGAGCGACGTGCTCACAACTGTGAGCAAATGCTGACCCCAACGCAGTCAACAGGCTCCACTGGGTGCCTCTAACAATTAAAGTGCCTTTCAACCTGTGTTCAGAGCCTTTCTGGGGGCGGGCACAAATATATTTGGCCTTTTCACTTGGCAAACATCTACTTAACAATCATGGTGGCCCTGGAAAGTTCTGCCCCATTGGCTGTGTCTTGGGGATGGTGCTGGTGTGACGGTCCACCAGGGACTTTGGGGCTGACAGTTAGCAAATGCCCACAAGGAAGCCGTGGAGTATGAGCTACACCTGCCTGTTTCTGGCATTTTCACTTCTATGGCTGCTGGCTCGTTTCAGATAACACAGACCAGCCCTGAATGAGCCACATTTGGAAAGTTTCCACATAAAACCGAAGGGAAAACACCTCCAGTTGTGAGACTGAGGAACTGGTGCTCCCAGCCCCGAACACTCCGACAGATACAGTGGCCACTGGTGCAAAGTGTCCAGGCGGCGAGCAGCTCCCCATGCTGTGTTTTCCCTTTTCCAAGGAACAGCTAGCTTGCCACTGTCTCCTAGGGATGTCCCCAGACAGGCAGTGGGGGTGGAGATGAACGCTACTAGAGGAAGCTGCAGGGTCTTCTAGCCTGGTCCTGATGGGACAGTGAACCTCCATGCAGTGTTGACCACAGCTTAGGGCTGGCTGTCACCCATGGCACCCAGGTCTGAGTGCGGCCACAGTCCCTCATCTTGTGGTCTGTGGGCAGCGTGGACACCCTGCTGGTCAGGACCAGCCATGCCTGCACAGACTCAAGAGGTCAGAACATGTGGAGTCTCTCCTTCTACAGGTTTGAGAGTTTAAACTAAACTTGGAAAGGGGCACATGACCTGTGTCTGCCAGGGCAGTTGCACGTGAAGCCTGAGGCAAAGTCCCATAAAGCATGCTAAATTTGGACTCTCAGCCTCCTGACCCAAGTTCTGACTTGAGGGGTCCCTCACTCCTCCGGCCTAGTCCGGGGCACCTGCTCTCCAAATAAAACTGATGTGAAAATGATGTTGATGTTTCTTTTCTATCTACTAGGGGCAAGCAAAGAGCGAAGACATTTTCTGTTGCAGATCCAGAAAGTCCACCACCAAGAGGCCCGACCTGTGCCTGGCAACTGCAGCGCCGGTGAACGGTGGACGGCGCGGCCCCTTCCGAACGAACAACGTGCGTGGGGCACTGCTCTGGCTGCCCCTCAGCAGGGAGGTTCTTGCAGACAGTGCTCTGGACAGGAAGAGCAGAGACGGGGAAGCCAGCGGGCCA